AAACTCCATTCCCACAGTAGCTATGAAAACAGAGTGAATTACTCAGGGAGGTGCCAGCCTCATCCTCTTATCTCTTCCTCGTCCCTCTGGAGACAAAAGAGGATGTTTCCCTCCCTGAGTGTGGCCTTCATAATTCCATTCCATCACAAATTTACTCAGAAGAAACTGCCATCTGGAGTACATGTGGTTAATCTCACAGTCTCCTTTGATCCAGGGAGATTGCACCAGCCAGAATCTGCCTCCCAGCTAACATTCTTCGAGGCTCCCCATGCCTTCAGAGAGCATCAGCTTGCCATGATTCCCCACTGGAAGCTCGTAATGGGCATCGTCATTGTCATCCTCATCTTCAGCCATGATCTCTTCTTTTGCTTGGGTAAGGAATCTAGACCCTAATATTGTTCCTTTGAACAGCTTCTTCTCATTTGACTTCATGAAGCTGGATGACCTCTGCAGATAGGACAGACACACAGGGTTGGCCTTGCCCTGGTTTTTAGTCACTGTAAACTAATTGTCTAGTCGATGAAGCTTCAGCTCCTGTGAACAAGTCTTGGTGCTTGGTTGAAAGTATCACCAATTTTTGCTAGCTCAGCTGAGACTTGGTTTTTGAAGATTTAGCCAGAATGAAATAGCCAGAGGGAAGAAATAGCCATCTGGCACCACTGAGAGGGGCAGAAATAGTGATTTAAGGAACTTGGCAGGAAAATGAATTATAAATAGCAAAGAACTGAGTCTGTTTTGCCAGCTCACAGTAGTAGAAGCAAATCTTGAAATGTAAAATAGATAAACCTGTATTTATTTACTGATTTCCTGCCAGAAGCAGTAAATGTGAGGTAGGTGGACCAAATGTGGGATAGGTTGACCAAATTGGTGGAAAATCCCACAAAGAGATTCATGGCTGAATAGATGGATTTGCATCTGGTTTCTCTGGTCCAAATCCAGCATGCAAATCACTGTTCAGTTCCACAGTCTCCATTAATCTGAGGATTACAGGACAGAAGTCATTACAGCAGCTAGAACTTGGTGGTTCTTATTCACGTTGGGGTTTCTTAGAACTCACTAACAAAGGTTCTAACTCAGCAGGATGGTCCCATCCTTCCCATAAGAAGGGAGCTGGATCAGTTAGTCTATTCTTTCCATCTTTCTCTGTTCTAGGAACGTTGGTGCCATCAAACTGCCAAGAGGATGAGAATAAATGTCCATCTGACTGGTTTGGACATCAGGGACACTGCTACAGATTTCCAAAAGAAGAAAAGAACTGG